AGATGCGGTTGTAGGGAAAGTTTTGTCCCTCTTTTTAGCGATATCATTCTATATATTTATTGTCGTAACATTAAGGAGATGTATAAAGAGAAGAAAGACATGTATGTCATGAGTTCTTTTGTAGACAGCAGTAGAGAGACAGCCGAAAGGGGAAGGCAAAGAATGTACTAGTATGTTCGAAACAAATATAAATGTTTTCTGGTGTAAAGTAAGAAAACTTTTATGGTTGCTTATTGAATTGGTAAGAATACATTCTTTAAAACAAAATACCACGCTTGAGTAGACATTGAGTAAAACATGAGCGAATGTGCTTGGACCAGATTAGGTAATGATGGACGCGGCCTTGGAAAACGTACACCAAAGCCAACACTTCTACTTCAATTCAGAAGAGAAAATATTGTATGTTTCAGTTGTTCTTTCAGCATATATATAGACGTTGACAATCTCGGATAAAGTACTTATACCATGTGCGACCTTCATGTCAGGAAAAAACCTTGCTGACTCCCTTACAGGAATAGAATGAAACTAAATGTGTTGGTGCATAAGTGTTTTTCTAACAATTTATTTTTGTGAACTATATAGTACTTTTCAATAAAAATATATAAAGTACTGTAACGTGTTACCTTGGGCCTCAATTTTCAAAGGATAAAGGGTCTGAATTTGGACAAATAAAATTATTATTTTTCTTCTAGCTCTTTTCGAGTCTACAATTAACACTTGGAACACTATTATTTACAATGATAATTGTTGATTAACTGGGTTACTTGCAATTGCCCGAAATGTTTAGGGTTTGTTAACGTACACTATTCAACTAAATGATGTTAGTCTCTCATCCATAAAAGATATTTAGTATAAGCCTTTGCACATTCTTCGTTAAGGTATGGTTAGTCTCTCTCCCGCCCAGGATGTTAAACACGTTTAGACCGATTAGAGAGCTAGTCTCGCACCTATCCGAGAGATCAGGGCTAGCCTTGAGAAATAAAAGCTATCTAGAACATAAATTTTTGCCTATTCTATTGAACCATTTCCCCACGGCTAGATATCTTATGTTCAATTTTATTTACTATTTACTAAAAAAAAAACAATTCGGTGATAAAGCTGGGCGTATCGCGGCTTCTCAATTTGGCATAAAAGTACTAGAACTATGACATAATACGTTTGAAGTGCTTTTATATAAGATTTTGATGTTTCGAACAATTAGGCTTCAGCGCAGACCAACAGACTTTGGCGTGATCATTAGGCTTTTTATAACCATCCTAATTTGGAGCTTTACATATGTACATAATAATTAAAAATTATGAAAATTTTCGGAGTACTTATCTCTTCCTCGGGAAATAGAAAAGGTGAAAATGTTATAAAAAATGAAATTAAAACATCTCACACAACTACACTATTCTACTAACACGATAAATTTTAAGTTTCATATTTTGAATTTTGAAAATCGTCACTGCAGACCACACTAGCCGAACGTGCCTCGCGGTAGTCCGCATTCATTTTACAGTTATAAGTTTTAAGAATCAAAATTTAAAATTAATTATCTTTACGTCTGTTCTAGAGTCGCGAAGTAAGGAGTTGATCCATACGTCGCGGGTTCGAATCTTACTGTTGGACATGGAGACCGGTCCTTCGGTTGAGACCTTATAAACCGAGGCCCGTGTCGCAGTAGGTACTGGCACGAAAAATATCCCTTCCTGCATAATGGCCCTAAGTGAGGAGTATAGGACAAAAAATTTGCTGCTTTTCACCGGCAAGTGATGACCTCTTCATATGAGTGAAAAAAAAATTGAGAAGGACGTTAAACAACATACAATCAATCAATCTTCTCTAGCTTGTGTTCCAATCTTCTCTAGCTTGTGTTCCCCAACCTCTATATAAGCCCAAGTTTTGTTCATGGTATTGTTTTAACAAACCAATCCTAAATGGTTCAGTATTTCTCAAGATTAGTTAGAAAATATAGATTTACAAACTTTACTCTATTCAGAATGCAGTATAAATACATTCGACATTTTATATGGACATTTTAAATTGGTCAAATGAGTTTAGAACATATGATGATGTTTCTATTGAATCTAAGATATTTAAGGATGTCTAATGATTTAGTAATAAATGGTGAACAATCTCAATATGTAATAAAGATTCTGTGAATGTTTCATTAAATTTCACCCAGTGGTATATGAGGAGTTGCGGATGAGAGATGGGTACCCCAAAACGTAACAGACAGATGGTCGGACTGACGTACAGACGGACGGATGTACAGTCGGACGAACGGACGGACGGATTACAGTATACCCTCCTACTTTTCAAGCGGGGGGATAAAAAGTTATAAGCATTTTTGGACAATCCTTGTACACTTTTACTGGACTTTAATAGAATAATTAATTGAGAACCAACTTGAACACAAAATTAATGAGAAAACATTTGACAGGAGTATTACAGAATCAGATATGATTATGTCTTTACCATTCAATTTTAGTGCAATAGTGATACTTATTACAATATTTTAATCATAAATTAATTCATAGATTTATAGCATTTAGAAATTATACATAATATGGGTATAAAATAACCACCATTACGTAATGTGTATAAAGAAATGGACAAAATAGGTTTTTATTTTTGTGAAAGTACTAAAGCATTTTGGAATGACTTTTTGAACTGGTGGAGTAGTTTTTAATTCATCAGTGTTTTATCTAAGAGATTTCATATCAAAATATTATCTTTGTACAGGTACTTATACTTTGTACAAATACTTATAACAAGTCTGAATTAATGTTAATTGCTAGCAATTAACTAGGGTATAGGGAAAAGTAGATCCGTAAAACCGATCATCATCTTTCAAATTTGAAATAAGATATTAAATACGTTTAAAACATGTCACATATTTCATCAAACCGATAGAGTTTTGAAATGTCATGATTTTTTCGTCAATAAATTTAGAAGTGTTATCTTTCAGCGAAGATGTAAAATAAGAATAGTCAGCAGAAAGAGTAGTGGACGAGGGCTTGATAAACATTTAGGGCAATTTTTCCCCCAGTGACCAGTATCTTGCCAAATCCATTTTGCTCCAACTTCTCAAATTCAACTTTATACCAACAAAAATGCAAGGGAGAGTAGTGAATCAATTTGAACTGTATTTTTTTTTAAATTTGTAAAAGGAAAAATAATATATTAGTAAAATATTTCTATATTGTTTATTTGTTGTTTAACATCCCTCTCGACAATTTTTCACTTGTATGAAGGCCCCACGACTTGACGGTGGACAGGTGCAATTTTGTTCACGACTCGGCACTTACAGCCATTGAGCAGTGAGGATCTTTTTCGTGCCAACACCTACTGCGACACGGGACCTCGGTTAACGGTCTCATCCGAAGGATCGGTATCTAACCACTGCTCCACTCTGGCGACTTCTTTGTCTTTGTAACAAAAATGTAGCTATCTAAAATATAAGGGTTGTTCGAAATGTATGTGGACTTCTGTTATATCATTTTCAATTGACGTCATATGTTTTCGAAATTTGATAGAAGTATTTTAGCAATAAATTCAAATAATCTGTATCAAACACTTTTGAAATATCACAATTTATTAAAAACTTATATCCAGATTTAAAATATGCAAAAATCGGTTTGCGGAGCAGGTCAAAATTTACTAAGTTACACACAGTTCACCTAATAATGTATGTATTTATATTCTCTGTAAAATGAAGCAAAAAGGGTAAAACAAAACCCATTGAAATTCAAATTAAAAATTGTTACATCGATTCTGGTTCAAAATAATGGCTTAATAGTTTGCTTCGTTAAAAAGAAATCAACTTGAGAAGATAGGTAGTCTAATCGGAAACGACAAAAATAATGACTTTTAGAACGTCATGGAGCAGCAGATGACGATGCAAATTTGTGTTATACTCTAGGAAAATCCTCAATAAATTCCAAATATGCTGCAGGAATCACAAATATGTAACATGCGAGTCGTGCATGTGTTTTTACAAATAGTACACGCAGTATTCGAGTGACAGAGACTGTTTCGGATGAGGACAATCCGTGAAGAAGCAATTCAACTGTAAAGATCATAACAAAAGCTTTAAAAACTCGGAACATAATGAAAGACATAGGCGCGTCAGAGTTGATTGTCCTGTCAAAGCAGAGTTAAATAATTAAAAAAACATTAACAAAGAAATTATGCAACGAAAAAAATTATTAAAAAAAATAAATGTCAATTGATAAAAAAAAGGGCGTTTAATAAGTGGGTATTGAACTATACTGTGTAAATTATGTAGGGATAGTATTTTTGAGAAATTCTTGAGGCAATGTTTTGACGTTACATTACCGTTAAGTCTGCTCCGCGGGTACGGAACATGTTCATTTTAAAATGAAGTAAATTTATGTTCCTCTGTTATTATGCAAGACCGAAGCCAAGTCAACTGAGCTAGTTTTTTGATGGATCAAAATTAAAATAACAACAGTAGTGAAAGTGAAAAATTGTCATTTATTGAAGTAAATGACGCAAAACAAAATATAAACATATTATAAGGGGGTCAGACAAGACTAGAACAAACTTTGAAAGAATACAAAAATCTTTGGTAACATATTATGCAATCTGACCCCCTAAAATTACATATATAATAAAGCAGGCACTGATATGCCTGTCATCAAAAAAGGGTGGGAAAATTGATCTCTGTTGAATAGAGTGATGAAACTTTACACATCACAAAAACAAATCTTTTTACATATTATATTGCTCTTATTTAAAATTTCTTGAAAGTTATATAACGAAGATTGACATTGTCCACGAATTTTTCGAACAACCTCCGAAAGGTTTTATTTAAAAATCTGGATAATATAATAATCTCAATTACAGTATATGGTATGGCTTATAATTCCTCACTTTAATTCCAAAAAAACCCAATCAATTGTATATTTTCCTGATATCTCATTCAATAACATTTACTTTATTCATGCCCTGAGTTTCTTTTTTTTCTTACCAGGGAGTCAGGTTTGCAACATATGTCTGAGGTTGTATTTGCTGCACTGTGTATCAAAGTGGGAACTTCTAAGCAGGTGATATTAAGAAGAGATGTGGTAGACATTAATGAAGTATTTAGGAATCAAGTATCAGCAAAGATTGGTATCAAAATGCTGTTTAGTGGAAGTTTTAGGGAAGGATTCAGACTTGAAGGATCAGATGTGGACCTCATGGTATGGAGAACCAAAATTCTTGTTATCCAGAACTTAGGTGAGGATTGTTATTGTTCAGATGTAGAGTTTCCCCTTCTGTGTGACTGTTCAGAGAGTCCTCCTGGATACACTTTACTTAAGTGGATGTTACCCAGAAATATGGCAAGGCTTTTAAGACAACCCAAATCCCCTTCATTTCAGTTTATAATTGATGTACTCCCTCCAGACTTGTTCATTATGAATGATAGCATTTATATATCCAGTTCAAAATGGAGACGATTGATGCTTCCTGATACACTGATTACTGAACATGGGCCCTGTGTAATGAGATACCATAACGGCAAAGAATATGAGATTGCCTACTGTATTCAGTCCAACTTTTGGCCTCCCTCTGCTTCTTCGTGGATAGATAGATGTCATGTTTGGCCCCCGCCACATATTGCCCATGATATAGTTGGAAATGGATGTCACTTTGTAGCTATTGGACACAAACTAGGAATTCATAAAGACAACGAATGGAGGATATCTTTTTCTCAAGCAGAACAAAAACTTGTGTACTCCATGAACCACTCTCAATTCTTAATTTACGGGTTGCTTAAGATTTTCCTCAAAGAAGTAATAAATCATGAAGTTGATGCTCAAGATAAATTGCTATGTTCCTATCACATGAAGACATCAATTTTCTGGGCGATTCAAAAAAATACAATGCATCACTGGTGTCCAAAAAATCTACTGAAATGTTTCTGGGTCTGCTTCAAACTTCTCCTTAAGTGGGTGTACGAGGGTGTCTGTCCTAATTTTTTCATTCCAGAAAACAATATGTTTCTGAGTAACATTCATGGCGAGGCACAACAAAATTTATTCCTCAGACTGCATGAATTGTATGAGAAGGGATTAGCATGCCTACTTCACAGTCCCTCCATCAGTCCCTTTCTTATTAAGCTCCTCCGTCTTCCTAGATCTCATAGACAGTCTATGAGTATTGTTTATAACAATCTCTACACAAATGATACGAATAACAGTTCGTTAGATGCTGAACTTTTAAAAGCGATATCTGACAGCCTTTCTGTGGTTCTTTTGGATCTACACTGCTGCATTAGGTGTCTATACACAATTGAGCATTTGATAAGTTCATCCCTGACAGAGTATCAAGTTGTCTGGTTACAGAAAAAACAAGCATATTTCCTTCAATTAACAGCTTTTGCACTACTCAACAGATATGCTAACAAAGGTGGAAACAAACTGTTGTATACAGCTGACAAAATATCTTGTCAAATGCTGAGATTAGCAACCAAGTTTGGTTGTACGTTTGACCTGTTGTACATAGTTATGTACTATTACCGGACATCTAGATACAAAGAAGCCCTGTCTATCATAGAAAAATTAGAAATTAAATTAGCACAGCCAGACATGATATATAACATTGCTAGTGTGCTTCTAGGAGGAGGAGAGTCTTTAATTGCAAGAATAATTCAGGGTACCATCGGTTTAATAAGTGGCATATGTTACATAAAGGAATTAATACCAGAACAATCTGTATTACATACAGGTAGTACTCTGAATATATCTCCATTTCTCTTATCTTACATGCTAAAAATTCTGTGCTCAATTCATACTGATAGAATAAAAGCACACAGAGCTCTCAATGATCTACGGGCCTTAGTCCACCTTGATGACTTATATGTATTCGAATTACACTTACACAAAGACCTATCATGGCAGATCCTAGGGATATGTCAACAGATCACAGGGGACTTAGAATCTGCACTGTTCTCATACGAACAATCTCTCAGACAAAGAAAATACCAATATTATGAAATAAAATTTGTCACACAAATGAGAATACAGGATATAAGGAGAACGATGCGGTATCGATACATGCCATAAATGCATGGTGTAATACTATATACTGTACTTTAATACGATGGTTTTATGTGGGAATAAGACACAAAGTTCATTTTATCAAAAAAGGGTTATATGGCGTGAAGGAGCAAGACCAGCTCTAATCTTATCGATTGTATATATATATATATATATATATATATATATATATATATATATATATATATATATATATATATATATATATATATATATATATATATATATATATATATATATATATATCATGTTGAATTTATTCATATTGTTAATAAAAAAAGATAAATTACTCAGATCATTTCATATCATAAAATTGTCTGTTGAAAAAATAAAATTTTGCCTGACCTTTTTCTTTTTTCAGTATGACTAAGTAATTATATAAGTTGAGATACCGAACAGTGATGGAACTAAATAAAATCCACAAATTATATTTTTCTATGAAAAGGATATAAAATACGAACATTTAAAAGGTGGAATCAGGTGCCCAGGACGTTTTTCATGTTAGCAAGCGAGAAAAGTATGCAAGGAAGGATATGGAGATAACGAACAGTATGCAACCCATAAAACAATACAAAATAAGAGCAGAGCCAGCACAGATCTAAAAAAAACATTAGAGGTGGGATCAGGTGCTATGGAGGAGTGAACATCTCCTGCAGACCGGTCACACCCGCCGTGTGCTCCTTGTCACGATCAAGATATAACAGAAAAAAAATCAATTTTGTGTATAAATAATGGACTAACATATATTACGAAAAACGTCAGTCAGCATTTGACTCAATGATAAATTGTTTTAGCTGACAAGGTCATTGTATCGACCATAGAACTTACGAAATGATGACTTTAAACGAGACTGCTGATATCCTTGTTTCATCAACTTGCTTGTCAATAACGCACCTAGTTTTAGAAATTGTTCAAACGTAGAACATGCTCCACGTATCGAATCAACTGAGATATATATACTCTGTATGCAGGCGATGAAGATATATTGCTGCATAAGTAAGGGAAGTTGACGATAGAAAAGTTAAAGTCATCACGTTTATCATATAGCTTGGTTGTTAAATTACCATTAGTGTCTTTTGTCAAGTAAAATATCCAAGTATGAAACAGAAGTGTCGCACCCTGTGGTATGTATTAACTCTGTAGTAATGTACGCAAGAAGAAGGATATGGAAATACCGAACAGTATTCAATCTCAACGTCCATTAAACAACTATACAAAATAAGAGCAGAGCAAACATGGACCTTCGAAACATCAGAGGTGGGATCAGGTGCCATGGAGGAGTGAGCATCCCCTGCCGACCGGTCACACCCGCAGTGTGCTCGTTGTCATAATCAGGAAATAACGGAAAAAATCCGTGGTCAATTCAGTGTATAAATAATGGACTAACAATTGGTATGAAAAACGTCAGTCAGCATTTCATTCAATGATAAATTGTATTTGCTGACAAGGTCATTGTATCGACCATAGAATTTACGAAATGATGACTTTAAACGAGACTGTTGATATTCTTGTTTCATCAACTTGCTTGTCAATAACGCACCTCGTTTAAGAAATTGTTCATACGTAGAGCATGCTCTTGCGTATCGAATCAACTGAGATATAAATACTCCGTATGCAGGTGATGAAGGTATATTGCTGCATAAGTAAGGGAAGTTGACGATAGAAAAGTTAAAGTCATCACGTTTATCATATAGCTTGGTTGTTAGATTACCATTTGTGTCTTTTTCAAGTAAAATATCCAAGTATGAAGCAGATGTGTTGGACTCTGTGGTATCTTTTATCTCAAGCTCACCAGGATATATCGTGTTGACGTAGGAATGGAAATTATCATTATTAATTGACAATACGTCGTCGATATATCTAAATGTCGAGTTGAAGGCCACAGCAAGTGTTTTCTTCTTTTCACCCAAAAGGTTTTGCATTAATTCAAAATGATGATCACTGTGGAGTCAATAATTTTGACCAAGATATTTTGCCTGCCCTCTAATTGTAAAAACCTTACATATATAATTCTTCATTATTCTATTAGCGGAAAATAATCTAACATGCACGAGAAGTATGTGAAAAAATAATTAACCCCACCCCAATTAAACAAAATTATTCATGCCTTTAAAAAATGTAATGGCTATATTGAAGAATAGAATGCCATGGTTATTTGGGAACATATAAACATGCAGAGGTTGAATGTCACCGTCGTTTCCAGTGGAAATAAGATTCATGATTGCTGAATGGACATAAGCAGTCTTTTCGGAAATTGAGAATGTTCTAAAATGAATGAAATATTCGCGAAAGGACAAAAACAGTTAAAAGTTTGAAATAAGATTAATGTTTTGTTTTCCTAAATTTTTTATTTCAAAATTTAAGCAATAAACATACCCCCCTTTTTTGCCTATATACAACCCACGGGTCTGTTTTTCCACACACATTTATATTTATCAAACTTTATAAACATGTACATGTATATCATACACTTTACAAAGTCGCGAATTTGTGTTTGTTTTTGTTTTGTTTGCTCTTGGGTCTCCCTATTGATTTTTTAACGTAAACACGATAAATATAATCCATTAAGAAAAACAACAAAAATGGGTGTTTCGTATTAAGGAATATGAAAGGATCTAGGACCTTTCACAAGTACGTGTGCTTCAAATGAATAACCTTGATTTGTTTTTAATGAATTTACCATGCACTGCTGCATTTCTTTTATTATGAACATGTACTTAATCTGCTATGCATGAATCCATCTGTTATAATAAATGGAACTCGTAAATTTACTTACTCGGTCATTGGTCAATTGCAAAGTTATTTTGTTAAAAGGCTTACTGATTGTACACAAAAGTAATCTGAACTAGATAATACAAAGATGCTTGAATTTCTGATCGACAGTATCTTTGTAGTCTGCCACCAATCTGCTTTCCATAGGTAACAATTGCGCCCTGTTATTAGCAGACCTGTTTTTACCTTTTTATGAAGCAGAATATTTTCGAGAACTTCTATATGATAGGAGGAAAACACTTGCTGTGGCCGTCAATTCTACATTTCGATATATCGACGACGCATTATCAATTAACAATGGTTAATTCCATTCATTCGTCAACTCCATATACCACAGTAAGCCTGAAATGAAAAATACAACAGAGTCTGACAAGTCTGTTTCATGTTTGGGTATTTTTCTAGAAAAAGACGTTAATAGTAACAACAAAGGTTAATGATAAACCTAATGACTACAATTTTTCAAAACATTAACTTCCCTTACTTATGTAGCAATATTATCTTATCGCCTGTGGAGTTCATGTCTCTCAGTCGATTCAATACACAAAGCATGCTCAACGTATGAAAAATATCTAAAACTAGGTAAGCTACTAACAAACAAGGTGAATCAAGATTATCAACAATCTCGTTAAAAATCGTCATTTTGCAAGTTCTATGGTCAATTACAATGACCATATGAAAAACTATATTATATCATTAGGTCAAATGCTGGCTGACGTTTTTCATGCTTATTGTTAGGACCATTATTTATACTCTGAATTGATGAGGAATTCAACCGTTTCCCCCGATCTTGACAAGGAGCACAAAGTGGGTGTGACCGGTCGACAGGAGTTGTTCAGTTCTCAAATTGGTGTCAATCACGTTAATATCAACACTAGTCTTGTTAAAAATAATTTAATCAAATGCTACTGACGTTGTTCATACTAATTATTCATTATTTACACACTGATATTTTCTACGGATTCAACCGATTTCCCCGATATTGACAAGGAGCGTACATTGGATTTGTGACGGATCGGTAGGGGATGTTCACTTCTCAATGTCACCTGATCCCAACCCTGATGTTTTAGAGTTCCATGTTTGCTCTGTTAGCATTATTCGAATGGACTTAAGTTTAGAGCTTGAATATTGTTTGTTATCTCCATATTTAATTGATTTTTTCGATTTATTATGTGTGCGACCGAAAAAAAACCCTAGATATTCCTCATTTGACGAAAGGTGAAATGAAGATGTAATAATTTTTTGTTTGTTTGTTGGTTGGTTTGGTTTTTTTTATTTGTTTTTGATTATATAATCCCACCTCTGATATTTTGGGGTCCGTGATTACTCTGCTCTTATTTTGTATTGTTTTTTGAGACTAAATACTGTTCGTTATCTCCATATCCTTCATCTATAAATCATAACTCGCTTGAAAAGTTTTATATTCATTAGTTTCCGATATAAAATACACTTGTAAGATACAAGTAAAACAGAATAGAACGCAGACTATACTTGTTATCAAAAACCAAATAACGCCTATATTGTTCTTTACCTACTTATAAAATATACTAATTGAAGTCATTTAATCATTTCTTCGATCATTTCAGTATATGTTGGATCATTAGTTAGAGAGTTTGTGTTACATTTATGATTCCATTGTCCACAAAAATATGTTTGTATGGGATATCAGCAGACTTTCTTATATATCAATTAAAACATGTAACACTAATTTAAAAGGAATAGAAATAGCCAGAACATAATTATGAAGATAACGAACAGTTTTCAATCTCGAAATTCACTGAATGATGACTTCAAACGAGACTGTAGTTGTCCTTGTTTCATAAACTTGTACAAGAAAAGAAGTCTTGTTGTGGCCTTCAATTCAACATAGATATATCGACAATATTATTTCAATGGACTCTTGGAATTTTTTTTTGTTATCTTCATAATCTTCATATTTTCTGCTTCAAACCATTTGTTAGAGTATTGTTTTGTACTGGATTTGACTGCAGGGTACTCCGTCTACATCAATTCATAGAATCAACAACGGTGTGACCGGTTCAACATAAGAATACTTGTTCCTCTTTGGAACTTCATGAAGGATATGGAAATAACGAACAGTATTCAATCTCAACTTCCATCAGACAAATATACAAAACAAGAGCAGAGCAAACACGGACCCCCGAAACATCAGAGGTGGGATCAGCTGCCATGGAGGAGTGAGCATCCCCTGCTGACCGGTCACACCCGCCGTTGCT